CACCCACGGGGACCAGGTGTGAAGCCCTGCCGTCAAGGCCCGCCCGCACATCTGGATTTCACCTCCTTGGAGCTCGCCTCAGCGAGTGCCCGGGGCACGTGGCTTCTGAAGGCTTCCAGGGAAGCAGGGGTGGCCAGAGCAGACTTGGTCCATGCTCCCCGGTGGCACCCTGAGTCCTGCCCTCCACCCCAGGCCTGTCTCCTGGGAGTACCTGGAAGTCACATGGGCTGTGAGGAGGCCTCTGACCAAGAAGAGGTCCCTGCCTAGAGGAGGCTACTGGCCCCAAGCCAGAGAGGCTCGGGTTCTCTCTCGTCAAGACCTCTCGTCAAGGCCTTTGACAGCCCCTGCATGGAGACCCCCCTTCATGTGGCCCAGGAGGCTCCCAGCAACAACATGTGAGCCCTGCAGCCTACATGAAGCACCAGCCCTGCGTGGACCCCAGCTCACATGGGCCCCAGTCTGCATGGGCCTCAGTCCTGCATGAACCCCAGCCCTATGTGGACCTCAGTCCTGAGTGGACCCCAGCCCTGCATGGACCCCAACCCTGCATGAACCCAGCCCATGTGGATCTCAGTCTTGTGTGGACCTCAGCCCCACATGGACGCCAGCCCCATGTGGACCCCAGCCTATGTGAACTCCCCCTGAGTGGACCCCAGCCCTGTGTGGACCCCAGTCCTGAGTGGACCCCAGCCCTGTGTGGACCACAGCCCCATGTGGGCCCCAGCGCCACGTGGACTCCACTTCTGGGTGGACTCCAGCCCCACGTGGACCTCAGCCACGTGTGGACCCCAGCCACATGTGGACCGCAGCCCAGTGTGGATCCCAGCCCTATGTGGACCTCAGCCTTGAGTGAACTCCAGCCTTGTGTGGACCACAGTCCCATATGGATTTCAGCCTTGTGTGGACCCCCTCCCCACATGGACTCCAACCCCATTTGGACTCCAGCCCTGTGTGGACCCCAGACCTGTGTGGACCCTAGTCCCATGTGGACCCCAGTCCTGTGTGTCTCAGAACTTGTGGCCAGGCCTGTCTCAGTGTGGGGCTCTAGCCTCAAACTGAGACAGGCCTGGCCACAAGTTGTGAAGTGGGCTTCTGGGTGGTTCTGACCTCCATGACGAGGGCAGGGTCTCAGGGGTCGTCTACGGCATCCCGTCTTCTGTGATATCCACACTCCTCAAATGCAGGGCAGACATGACTCTGCCCAGGGTGCTCAGAGAATGCTCTCGGGGCTCTGAGACAGGGCAGGCCACAGTGCGTGACCTCTATGGCAGCATTTTCGATCCCTGGGGAGTGCAACTGTATCCCTCCCACTTGAAATCCCACCTCATGTCCTCAGGACAAAGACACTCATCCTCCAGGGCCAGCAGGGTCCCCTGCACCTCCCACAGCCTCCGACCTCCTCTGCCCCCACCTGAGGCCCTGTGGGTCCTGCTCCTGCAGCTCTGCCAGGTGTCCTCTCCCAGGGTTCCACTGGCCAGCTCCTTGCGCATCACATCTCATGCAGAGCCTGCACAGCCCTGGCTCTCAGTTTGATGCTGCAGTCTGGCACCCCCATGCCCCGCCTGCCCCACTGACCTCCCTTGTCAGGGCTCTGTTTCCTCCAAGCTTCGTGTAGTTATTGGGCTGATGGCTTATGTTCTCTCTTCCCCACCAGAGTAGAAGTGTCTAGGGTGAGTCTTCGTCTGACAAGCCCTGAGTGCCTCGTGAACCTGTTGTCAGTATTTGTGGGTGTCGGACCAGCGAACTGGTTCACACAGCTGGGAGCCGGTGGTACCCTCCCTAGGTGGGGAAGTCCATCCCCACCCTTTCATCCCAGCCAGCTCTCTGGGGGTTGCAGGGGACGCTGCTCCATTCCCCTGACAAGGGTCCAGTAGCTCAGGGACTGACGAACCAGCCGGTGAACCTCTTGCCTTCACTAGAATTGCATTTGGAAAAACTCAGGAAGACTGAGACCCATAGAGCCTGGTCCGGCTCTGCCTTCCTTGGGCCTGGAGGGGCTGTGTGTGCACATTGGGAAGATTTGTGTTTGTCCCTGGTAAACATGCAGATTGGAGTCGCTGTGGCATGTTGGCAGGACAGGGTTTTCCTTGCACGCCCTGCCCCACCTGCAGGTCCAAGGAGGGTCCTGTAGGGCCCACGCTCGGGCATGTGTCTTCACTCACGTTCACTGTAACAACTTCTTATCCCAAAAGCAAAGCTCACTCACAAGAGAGAGCCAGAGCATTTTGACCAGTAGCTGGAGAGAAACCCGGCAACAGTTTTCTCTTTGATCTGTTTTTTACACATGCCTATGTGAGCTAGCTGTGCTTGATTTGGGCTTCATAGTATGTCTTGAGAAGTCTCCTCTTACTAAATTTTCAATTGTTTAATTACGTTGTGATTTCTATTCATTTTTTAGATTAAGTTTTTGTGAAAATGTCCTTCCGCAGGCCACATGGACATGTGACATTGGAGGCAGGCAGTGTGCTGGGCTAGCCATCCCGCATGGTGGGAGGCTCCTGCCATGCCCCACAGCCCTGCTACCCAGTGTCTCCCCGAAAGCACTGCTGGCATGAACGTGCTTGAATGTACACCTTTTTGCGGTGGACGAATTTTCACAAAGTGAGCGCTTCCACCAAGACATGACCACCCAGATCAAGAAGTAGACGTCTCCTGTTCTGTAACATTGGAGGGCCCAGTCAGAGCAATCAGGCAAGAGAAGGAACCAAGAGGCATCCCGATGGGAAAAGAGGGAGTTAAATGATCTCCCTCCACAGATGGTGTGATTCCATGTCTAG